CCCTCCTCCTCCCTGAATCCGCCAGTGCTTAGATAACGGCATTATTTTGATTAGCTGTTTCTTAGCATCACCTAAAACTGCGCTAGTACGGGCCCGTTCGAAAGGCTACATGGAATTATGCGGATGAGAGAAGCTCAAAATAGAGAAGATTGACGATGCTGTCATCAGCTGTATCAGTGGCAGCACTGAAAAATAAAAAAAAAGATTCAGTAAGAAATCACTGAAAACAAAGATTTAAGAATCCTGAAAGATTAACCTTAGATTCAATATCTTGAATACGACATGGATAATCAGCCCATGGTCCACCGAATGTTTGATAGATGTTTCGTCTGAAAAAAAAAAGGCTCACGGTATTAAAGAATTCAATTAATTACATTACTGCTTGCTGTCACATAACAAGCATTGCTAAAGAATAATCAAAATACTATTTAGGATACTAAATGGGGATGATTTTTTTCGGATAATTTTTCATAAACGACAAATATCCAGCTTGAACCCCAGGCTGTTCTTTCATCGAGGAGTCTTGTTAGTCAGTTAGTGAAAATTTTTGTGAAAACCTCGTAAAAATAAGAGACTAAAATGGATCGGGCAGTTTTTCTTCAGATCTTCCTTATCACCCTTTTTGTGCAGCAACAATCAGGTTTCGTACAAATTTTAAAAATAAAGTGATAATCCTGCCCTAACATATTTTCAGATACCTTAAAATTACAATTGACCCAGGAAAATATGAATAAATAGCGGCGCGCACCAGGGCATTCGGTACGATCATGCGTCTTGTGCAATTCTGCCCACCGGACGAATGCCTGCCCTGAATTTAAATTTGAGGGGTTGCACGTGAGCAGGGAACAGTCCCCCAAAACTTCAGCTTCCTAGCTCCTGTGGTTCCGAAGACAATAATTTTCCCCGTCAAAACTTTTGCGGGGCCGTATGTATTACTCGCGGGTACGGGGAGGCTGAATTTAAATTTGCGGGGTCATACGTGGGTGGAGAACATTCCCCTAAATTTTCAGCTTCCTAGTTCTGGTTTCTGAGTTGGAAGTTGCGGACAAGTCGCTACGGGCACACACACACACACACACACACACACACACACATACAACCCCGTGACAATATGCATTTTGTACTGCTGTTACACAGCACAAAACGTGTGAAAACTTACTCGGTGCAATTGAGATTCAGTCCAAGTGTTGTAAGATCATGGCCCAGTGCCAGTGCAACGATTGCTGGGTCTGATTCAATAGCTCGCAGAAACGTCAACAAACCAGCCATTCCAAACTGATCATTCAGCATTCCTGGTGGAATATTTCGCACTGTGCCTGCAAAACATTTGCATAAATTGTAATTTCCGTTAAACGTACAGTTCTTAACTATTGGGAAGCCACCCACTCATCGTATGTTTTCAAAAGAAACGGACCTTTTAAGGTTAAAAAACACCAGATTTATTCAACAAAGGTTAAGAATCACGTGAAATGAATAGCAGTTTTACCAAAAAAAAAAAAAACCGCCAAGATTATCACGGTGCGGAACTGTTGCAAAAGGAAGGTGCTAGCAGCAAGGAAACGAAACTGGTGGCTAAACCCCGTCGGCTTCCCCCAGTTGCCCTTCGATTCTATGTGATATGTAAGTGTCCCATCTCCTGGCTCGAGCTCCCCCCTCCGTTATATGTTAGCAATGAAATGGGGACTGTTTTTGTGTCACAAGAACTGAGCGGTGGCACCTTGCAGCCCCTCAAAATTGTACGGTGGCAGCTTGGAGCTGTTGATGTTATTGATTTGTGAATAAAGCATTAGCAAGATTTTCAAGGCTACCATTCTGAGGCCTCCGATGTATTACAAAATCGCGGTCACGAAATATGCCCCAAACAAATTTAACCGGTAACGTTTCCTGTCCAGAATGTTCTACAGTTTATTCCAAGAACAAAACAATAAAGATTAATTAAATTTTCGAAAAACAAACCATCCGGGAATGTCTGGATTCCTGTTTTTGGATCAATGCTCGATCTGTCGGAGTACCTCGCTTCGGTGGTCAGTCCATCCGTTATCGTAGGAACACTTGCCTAAAAGTTTTTCGGTATAAATCTACTTTATATATGCTTGCAAGAAATTCGAGATTTCTGGTAACCCCCCTCCCCCTTCTCCCTTTTTTTTTCTGCAAAAGCACTAATAAATCGGGCAAAAATCTTAATTTTACTGAAAAAATTTTTTTCATTTCCAAACAATCAAGGCTGTCCAGTTTTGAAAAAAAAAAAATATACCTGAGTTTGCGTTTGTCCATTGTCAACCGGAATGGCACCTGGCAATGCCGGGAAATCCTCGTTCTGTATGTGGAACTCCACGCTTTGTGATGAGGAAGAATTTCCATCCGTTGTTCGCATTAAATTCGCTGAAAAATTAATTTTGTTATTTTTTTTTGAAAATTTGGTTTATTTTTTCGGCCAGGTACTTCATCTAGAAGTAAAATAATGTTCCAAAAATCTCGAATTTATAAAAAAAATACTTTCTTCTTTTCTCCCATAGTAAATCTCCTAATCGATAAGCTATCTCATCGTGGTCAAGAAGTTATATTTTTTTTTTTTGTGATATGGTGGTATAGAAGTGATATATTTTCGAAGTTTTCAAAGCAAGTCAAATTTATAGACAAATTATAACTACTCGGGCTACGTAGTACTAATGAATGGCGACTTGTATTTTGCATTGATCAAAACGAGAACAGCAAGATGGATGAATTAGAATCACTATAACAAGGCATCACGTTAAGCAATCTCTATGTCAGCAAAACTCGTGGTACTATGGTCTACCTACATCGTCTCGTGCAACAGAACAGGGGCTAAAAGGCATCAAGGAACATCGTCGAAGATGAAAAACGGATGCCGCGAGAATCTGCCGAAAAGCACAAACGTATGTTAGAAAAAATTCCTCCGAGAAGCTAGAAACTAGGAAGAAAAGGTACGAACTAAGACAAAAATGTACACTGATGGCGAGGAAACAGTGGACAACACAGGTGAATGTTAGAATCAAGACGACGGGAGCACTGTGACGAATTAGGGAAGATCAAAAAGTTAGTCTACCCAAAGTTTTACCTAAGGAAGCGGACAGAAGAGGGAAACGGCAGGCAGA